AGGCTGAGGGCCTGTATGGTGAGGATATCATAGGATCGGGTTGCGCACCGCAGCATGTGGTACTGATTTGTGATATATTAGAGGCTGAGGGCCTGATTTATTATGCCACGAGGTGGCCTGTGATTGTTATGAGGCCGAGGGCCTGTTTGATTATGCCACGAGATGGCTTGTTATAGCGCTTGGGCTGTAGGAGCCCCTCCATGAGTCTGCACACGCCCAGTGAGCGCGGGTACCCAGTGTGAGTGATGTGATGTAGCCCGTGGGGCTGTTGTTGTTTCATATTGTTGCCCGAGGGGCGGTTCTTGATTCATGTTATGCCCGAGGGGCTGATTACGAGTTATTGTGAGGTAGCCCGAGGGGCGGTTCTTGATTCATGTTATGCCCGAAGGGCTTATTACGAGTGATTGTGAGGTAGCCCGAGGGGCTGGTACTGTTGATATTATGCCCGAGGGGCAGTTTATGATACATGATTTGCCCGGGGGCTGTTACGTTTCTATCATTTTTACTCACTGTTTTTTTATCACTCGTTTAAAACTATTGAAAGATGTTTTAAAAGGTTATTACTGAAACTGAGTTTGATTTCGAAATAAATGCTTTTTGCACTGTTCTGGGAATGTACTGTATTTGCTGTAGCATTATGACGTGGTTTACGTGTTTTCTTACTGCTCAGCTGCCTTTACTTTTATTACTTACTGAGTTAGCATACTCACATTACTCCCTGCACCTTGTATGCAGATTCAGGTATCTCTGAACCCGGTAGCGGGGTTTGATTGCTCAGTAGCAGAGTCATCGGAGTTAGCAAGGTAGCTGCCCGACGTTTGCAACCCTGCTCTTCTCCCCCTTATCTTCCTTAGCCTGTGATAGTATATTTTCAGACTCTTCGTTGTATTCAGACCTTAGTAGATACTTGTGACACCCCGATGTCGGGCTTGTGTATTTATTCCACTGGTTATTTAGACCTTTTATTATGAGATTTCTTGTTAAATTATTGGCTTAAAAATGACTTTTATTGAAAAATGGTTTGATTTGGGAATTGTGTCGGCTGGCCTAGTTTCACGATAGGCTCCATCATGATCGGGTCGGTTTTAGGGTCGTGACAATTATGCTTTCACATTGTATATCTCCAGCATAATATACAGGAATCAAAATTTTAAATTATTTAATTCCAGCGAATTGTTCTAGATACAAATTTTCCATTGTTTTACATTTCTCCATTATAATATACTGGCTTATATCGCTTCATAAGTACCATTTCCAGCATAATTTACAGGAAGCAACCAAAATAAGAACATGTCACGACCCAAAATCCACTAAGGGTCGTGATGGCGCCGGAAACTGCTGTCAGGCTAGCCAACCATAAATACTTAATTAAATTCTAGTTTAAATAATTGTGAAAACTATGATTTTCCTTCAATTTGGCTAGTAAGAGATAATCTTTATAAAATAAAATAAAAGAATATTTAGAAGTTAATACAGAATACCCCATAATCATCCCAGAACCTGGTGTCACAAGTGCATGAGCAGTTTCTAGGAAATAATGTAATACAACAACTGTCCGAAATACAAATTGGACAGAAAAGAAAATACAGTACAATACTCTAAATGAGACTCTGCTGGCTGCGGGTCATCTCGAGAGGTGCAGCTCACCTAAGTCTCTGTATCAACCATGCCGCTGCGCCCAACTAGGCCACTAGACATATATGTGCCTGTGCAAAAAAAAAAGCACAGCAAGTGTAGTATGGCACAAAAAACAACGTGTACCCAGTAAGTATCCCGTCTAACCTAGAAGAAGTAGAGACGAGAGGTCGACTTCGACACTTACTAGTGGTCCAATAATAATATATTAATAATGCGAATAATCATGGGTTTATTAAAAACGGCAGTAAAATCAAGTAAGTCAAGAAACAAGTAAACATTCCTTTTTATATTTAGAAGTCTCCAAATTCATAATCCATTATTTATCAATTTATCTTAGACCAGGGAGGCAATATCAATTTGTAAATCTCAAGAAAGCATTACAAGCATGCACAAATCATGCCGAGGTCGTACGGCCCGATCCAACAAATATTTAAACTGTGCACTGCCAGAGGGTCGAATGGCGCGAGCCATAGATGCATCTATTACCCCGCTCGTGAATCATACGTGCGACACAGTCAAATATAAATAATAGAGTTACCCCGCTCGCGAATCATACGTGCCACGCAGGTACTCATAGATACACACATTCAAACAGTCAATTAAGAATTCATCAAGAAACATTTATCCAAGGAAAAAGAAAGTCAATTCTCTTTTAACGATTTAAGAAAATAAGGTTTAACCCTTTTTAGAAATTCTTTTATTAATTCGATATGATTTAGGCAATTTCATTTGTCAATAAGATTACAAATATTTCACGTATAGCATGCTTTTGGATCCTAAACTAGAAACAACAACAACGACGACGACAAACCCAGTTTGATCTCAACAAGTGGGGTCTGGGGAGGGTGGTCTGTACGCAGAACTTACCCCTACCTAATGTAGGTAGAGAGGCTGTTTCCAATAGACCCTCATCTCAGGAAGGGCAAGAAGAAGAGGAGAAAAGCAAGGGAGGAAGAAAGATGGAAGATAAAAGAAAAAGGGAGAGATAAAGGATAAGTGGTACCAAATAATAGCAACAGGGAATACAATACCTGAGACGAACAAAACCACATAACATAATCAAAATCTAAGAATATGAAGGGACATGCATACTACTAAGACTATTGGTGAACAACTATAAACTACCTACTAACCTTCTACCTTAATCCTCGACCTCCACACTCTCCTATAAGGGTCATGTCCTCAGTGAGCTGAAGCAGCGCCATGTCCTGCCTAATCACCGCTCCCCAATACTTCTTAGGCCTACCTCGACCTCTTCTCAAACTCTCCATGGCCAACCTCTCACACCTCCTAACAGGAGCATCAATGCTTCTTCTCTTAACATGTCCGAACCATCTCAGCCTCAACTCTTGCATCTTGTCCTCCACGGAGGCTACTCCCACTCTATCCCGAATATCTTCATTCCTAATCCTATCTCTCTTAGTACACCCACACACCCATCTCAACATCCTCATCTCTGCTACTCTCATCTTCTGCACGTGGCAGTTCTTGACTGGTCAACACTTAGCCCCATACAGCATAGCCGGTCGAACCACCACTTAATAAAACTTACCCTTAAGTCTTAGCGGCATATTCCTATCACACAGAACACTGGAAGCGAGTCTCTACTTCATCCATCCTGCTCCAATGCAATGTGCGACATCTTCGTCAATCTCCCAGTTACCCTGGATAATAGACCCGAGATACTTAAAACTCGCTCTCTTGGGGATAACTTGAGCATCAAGCTTAACCTCTACGTCTGCATCATGGTTCCCGTCACTGAACTTGCACTCCAAGTATTCTATCTTGGTTCTACTTAGTTTGAAACCTTTAGACTCCAAGGTCTGTCTCCAAACCTCCAACCTCGTGTTAACTCCGCTACGCGTCTCGTCAATCAACACTATATCATTGGCAAATAGCATGCACCAAGGCACCTCCCCTTGGATGTGACGCGACAATACATCCATCGCCAAGGCAAATAAAAATGGTCTAAGAGCCGATCCTTGGTGCAACCCCATCACCACAGGGAAATGCTCCGAGTCACCACCCCCAGTCCTCACCCGAGTCTTAGCATCATCATACATATCCTTAATCACACTAATGTACGCTACCGAAACACCGCTAACCACCAAACACCTCCACAGGACCTCCCTCGAAACTTTATCGTATGCTTTCTCAAGGTCAATAAACACCATATGCAAATCCTTCTTCCTCTCCCTGTACTGCTCCATTAATCTCCTTACCAGATGAATCGCTTTCGTTGTCGAACACCCCGGCATGAATCCAAATTGATTCTCGGAAATAGACATGCACCTCCTCACCCTGGCCTCCACCACCCTCTCCCAAACCTTCATAGTGTGACTCAACAGCTTGATACCCCTGTAATTAATGCAATTTTGGATATCACCCTTGTTCTTGTAAAGCGGAACCATCGTACTCCACCTCCATTCTTCGGGAATCTACTTTGTCTTAAAAATAACACTAAACAGTCCAGTGTGCCACTCCAAACTTGCCCGCCCCGCGCTCTTCAAGAATTCCACCGGGATTTCGTCTGGCCCTGTCGCTCTGTCCCTGTACATCTTACGCATCGCCCCTTCTACCTCCTCTACCATAATCCTCCTACAGTACCCAAAATCCTGCCGACTCTCGGAGCGCTCTAACTCACCCAGCACAATGCGTCTATCCCCCTCATAATTCAACAATTTATGGAAGTATGTCTGCCATCTTCTCCTAATAAGTGCCTCGTCCATCAATACTTTTCCATCCTCGTCCTTGATACACTTGACTTGGTCTAAGTCGGGCTTTCCTTTCCCTCACCTTGGCCAACCGGTACAACCACTTGTCCCCGCCTTTGCCCTCGACCTCCTCGTACAAACGAGCAAGCGCCGCGTTCTTAGCCGTCGTAATTGCTAATTTCACCTCTTTCTTTGCATTTCTGTAACACTCCCGATAAGTCCTTTTTCCTCCTCGTTTGTACTCTCTACTAGCTTAAAATAAGCAGCTTCTTAGCTTCCACTTTACCTTGAACCTCTCCATTCCACCACCAGTCCCCTTTATGATACCCACGAGAGCCCTTAGTGACCCCTAAGACCTCTCTAGCAGCTACCCTAATACAATCCGTAGTCGTGAACCACATACTAGACACATCCCCCCTACTCATCCAGGCCCTCATAGCCAACAACTTCTCCCCTAACTCAGGAGCTTTGTCCTTGATCAAGTTACCCTACTTGATCTTAGGTTGACTGTACCCCACCCTCTTCCTCCTACTCCTCATGATCTCCAGGTCCATAACTAGGAGCCTATGTAGAGTCGTGAGGTGCTCACTTGGGATAACCTTGCAGTCAGTGCATAGACCTTAATCACATTTCCTGCAGAAGAGATAATCAATTTGAGTCTTGCCCATTGAATTCCGGAAAGTGACCAGGTGCTCTTCCCTCTTCGGAAAAACTCGAGTTAGCTATAATAAAATCAAAAGCTCTAGCAAAATCCAATAGTGGATTACCTCCCTCATTCCTAACCCCAAAACTGTATCCGCCATGCACATCATCATAACCCCTAGAACTAGCCCCAATATGACCATTGAAATCTCCGCCAATAAACAACTTCTCTGTGTGCGGGATACTACGCACCATATAGTCCAAATCCTCCCAGAATTGCTTCTTGACCTCCTGGTCCAAACCTACCTGAGGAGCGTAAGCACTAATCACGTTTATAGTAAACCCACCAACTACCAGCTTAATACTCATCAACCTATCATTTACCCTCCTAATCTCAACCACGAGCTCCCTGAGGTCCCTGTCTACTAAAATACATACCCCATTCTTACCCCAGTGCTCCCTGAGTACCATAGTTTATTTCCGTCTACATCTCGTGCCCTAGTACCTTTCCATCTAGTCTTCTGAACACACACTATGTTGATCTTCCTGTTCTGAAGAATCTTACCTAACTCTATAGACTTCCCGTCAATGTCCCAATGTTCCAAGACCCAATTCTCAACCTAGAGGCTTTCTTACCCCCTTCCCACCCCTGGACCCCACCCCCAGCCCCACCCGAGGACATGACCTTACTCTCACATCGTCCACTACCGCCACTATAAACAAAAGGTATTAGGTAAACACTACCACTAAGAACCAATAATGGGGACGAAGGACTACATGCTACAAACCCGAGAGCTAAAAACAACTCAAAGGGGTGACTACGAGAACAGTAATGCGAGCAAGCACTGGAACAATGAATCTACCACGTCTAGGAAACTACCCCTATGCAAACACAGGATTGAACTTAATAGATGAAACCTTAAGCTTAAAACACTAGTATAAAAGATAGAAAAAGCAATCAATCCAATCAAAACTGCCGGCAAGGCAACACTAAATAGATGTGCGCAAATACAATTCAAGAAAGATGGAACCTGGATCACAGTCGGGGATGACCGGACGCGCTTCCAAATCCGCTGAATACTGCTGATAAGATCAATTCCCACGAATAGAACCTGGATCTTTTGACTTGGTATACTCCAGATACTGCGGAACCTGGTGTATAACTGCTTCTCTACTGCTTGTGCATGTGCACCTCCCTACCGCCACCAAGAAGCCACAAAAGTGATATCTGCAAAACACACAAACACCCACATATCCAAGAAAAATACAGGTGGGCCGGACTGTCACCGTCACCAACAGCAGAAAAATGCGAATCTAGTGACGACACAGTTAAAGAAACGTGAATAGACAAGATTACCGTTTATTAACACTGCAACAGTCAAGAAGATCGTATTCGTTATTAAAATAAAAAATCAAAAGAGAAGAAAAGAAAGGAATTATTTTGCAACTGATAGATTTCTGTCAGCACAGAGTATGGAAAAACCCCCAGAAATCAGTCCTATAGACGAACAACAAAATAGAGACTAACTGGAAAAAATTGAAAAGAGGTTTTCGAAAATCCTAATTCAAAAAGATCAAAATAATACTATAAAGAATAAAATAATTAAAACAAGAAGGAGAAAAGAATCACAAGGATGTAAGCAGGATTTTTCGGTATTATCTGATCAGCAACAGCTTCAAGAAAATTAAAATTTCAAGATTGATGGGGGAAGAGGGATAATTTGATGTTTCACAGGATATTACAAAATTCTGTTTCAATAAGTTCTTTTGTATAACCCTCAAAAGTCAAAACTGCAAAATCTAGGAAGGAATACAACCGAAGAAGAAAATATATGAGAATGTTAAAGGGGTGGGGAAGAACAAAAGAAAGAAACGTTCAAATTTCATTAACCGCGCGAAGTCAAATGGGGTCCCCGCCGGAGTATTCGTCGGAAAAATCTAGTGAATATCAAATAAGACACAGGAGTAACAAATTTCTAAAGGGGTCAGAAAACGATCGACTGGGGGGCACCGATCAGTGATGAACAATATTTAAGGGTTCCGATCGCCGGCGGCGTTTGATTGGCCAAAATTCAACTGTATTTTTCGCCAGGAGCTGAGCCGCGACAAAGATTAAAATTCAATTGATGAAAAAGGTACCGAAAATTCCAAAGATTCACTTGGAACAAATTAAAAATCAGGTTTTGGGTCCTAGACTACCCGGACTTAAACATAATAGTAGCTACGCACGGATTCTCGTCACCTTGTGCATACGTAGCCCCCACAAATAGGAGCCCATAACCAATTATTTTACCTATGGGGACAATTCCCTCTTACAAGGTTAGAAAGGAGACTTACCTCGCTCAAAAGTCCAATAACCGGCTTCTAAGCACCTTCCGACGACTTAAACTGATGCCTCAACGCTCCCAAACTAGCCAAATAACGGGCAAACCAATGAAAATACACCCTAATACTCATAACAATTCAATTTGTATAAAATCCCAACTCCGCTCGAAAAGTTGACAAAATCGCCCTCGGGCCCACATGCCCGGATTCTGAAATTTTTCGAAGATAAAGTTTACCCTCACGAACTCAAATATATAATTGGCTCTCAATTTCATGTCGAAAATCGTGGTCAAAATCCAAGAATACTAATTTCCTAGGTTTTCTTCAAAATCCCAAAATTCTACTAATTTACATGATTTTCCATGTTAAAATCTAGATATAATCCAGGTTATATTAACTTGCAATAGGTGGGAATCACTTACCTTGATATGGATGATGAAAATGGAGCTCCAAAATCGCACCTAGATCAGCTCTCATGGAGGAAATGAGATGAAATAATCCAAACCCATTTCTTTACACTTATACACTGCCCAGACGACTCTTCTTCGCGTTCGCAAGACACCCATCACTTTCGCGAAGAAGAAAATTCCCAAAAACCATTTTCCAAACTCATCTCAGACAGCCTCTAGTATAATGGCCATAACTTTTTGTTAGAAACTTCAAATGACAAATGGTTTAATGTTTTGAAAATTAGACACCAAGATCTAAAACTTTCATGCTTTGGTCATCTCCCAATTCTTTAATGATTTTGAGATATAAGCGTCCAAAGTCAGCCCTGTGCAACACAAATTTCTTCTTCATCTTCCCAGACAGCCTGTAGTGTACCAGCCATAACTTTTTGTACTAAAATCCAAATGCTAAACAGTTTACTTTTCTGAAAGCTATACATAAAGGGCTACAACTTTTATTTTTGGATCATCTCCAAATTCATTATAGATTGTGAGATATGAGCCTCCAAAGTCAGACCTGTGCAACAGAGATTTCCTTCCTCGCGAACGCGAAGAACAGAGTCCCTGAAGCCAAATCCTTCTTCGCGAACGCGAGAGGATCCTCGCGAACGCGAAGAACAACACCAGACACCAGCATCAGCTATTGCAAAATAGCCCGAAATGATCCGAAACCATCCCAAAATGCCCCCGAGGCCCCCGGGGCCCCTTCCAATTGCACGAACCATTCCCATAACATAATACGGACCTGCTCGAGGCCTAAAATCACATCAAACAACATCGAGATCATGAATCGCACCCCAATTCAAGCTTAATGAACTTTAGAACTTCAAACTTCTACATTCGATGTCGAAACCTATCAAATCACGTCTGATTAATCTCAAATTTTGCACACAAGTTACATTCGACATTACGCACCTACTCCAACTTTCGGAATTGGATTCCGACCCTAATATCAAAAATTCCACTTCCGGTCAAACTCCTCAAAATCCTTCAAATTTCTATCTTTAGCCAAATGACTCCAAAATGACCCACGGACCTTCGAATTCACTTCCGATCGCGCTCCCAACACCAGAATCACCATACGGAGCTATTCCAAGACTCGGAATCCAAAACGGACATTGATAACACTGAAATGCACTTCAACCCAAACTTATGAAATTCTTCCAAAAATGCTAACTTCCACAATAGGTGCCAAAACGTTCCCGGTTCTTCCAAAACCCAATCTGGACATACGCCCAAGTCCAAAATCATCATACGAACTTGCTGGAACCTTCGAATCCCGATTCCGAGATCGTTTACTCAAAAATCCAATCTTAGTCAATTCTTTCAACTTAACGCTTTCGAAATGAGAGTTCTTTTTCCAAACCAACTCCGAACTTCCCGAAATTCAATTCCGACCATGTGTACAAGTCATAATACCTGAAGTGAAGCTGCTCATGGCCTCAAACTACGGCACGACACGCTAGAGCTCAAAACGACCGGTTGGGTCGTTACATTCTCTCCCACTTAAACATACGTTCGTCCTCAAACGTGCTAAGAACTGTGCTGGAGTTGTCCGAAATCACTGTTTAACACCTCGTGCACCTACCCGTGCTACTACAACCCAGTTAAGCACATTAGCTCAATCAATTCTGAAGATATTCCCTTTTATTCAAGCAAATAAGCTTAGAGCCCAATTCCAACATCCAGAATTCTCTGCCAGGCCTGCTTCCAATATATGAACACCTTATCAATCACTACACGAGGTACCAGAACATGATTGCATGCCTTTGCTAAATTCTCACCATGCACCACATCATTCACAGGACCATAATAACATTCTCTGATCATAATAACTGACATTCCCCGAATCTGATGCTCACAATGCACCTCATGATATATATATAAGTCTTGTTCCAACTCCTGCAATACTGCCACGACGGAAGAGATGTGTAGAAATTCATAACCAACTGCCGAGTCAACAAATCATTGAGTCTATACTTCTGACAAGGACCATTACTTCATTCTGAACCAAATAATGATCTTTGCTCTCTAATGTACTTCATATAATCCGACTGCACTGATCCTAGATCCAATAATCTTGTCTCGCCCAGTACGAACTGCTCAGGGAATAAGCCACTCCAGTCATGATCAAAAGTCTCATATGATGCCACAATGTGCCAATAGGCCACAAGCTCGAACGTGATACATAAGGAAAATGAACTCTGGAAGGGACTACTCAAATCATGCAACTAATATGAACTTTCCTCAGAAAATGCGAAACAAAACACACAAAAACAGATATAGGGACTATACTCAACATCACACTGTCGCGGAGTGCAACCCGATCCAAAAACATACTCGTGGCGCCGTGCCACTCGATCCACACATAAAATTCACCTAAGAAGATACACACCGAGCAAAATTTCTCATTACTACAAAATACCGAATATCGTCCACAAGCACGCTAAGTGCATAATACCATCCCTGGGGAGACAGATAACGCCATAAGATACAAAACTCAAGCACAACTGAAGTGCGATATATGATCTGAATCTCAAGAGCCATCCTGCTCATATAACACCATCGCTACGCGGAACCTCAACACACAAGAAATTTATCAAGCCATTTCGCAACTCACACGGCACAATATAGCATTACATAAAATAGTCGAACACGAAATAACATCCAACGTCCGAATACTCCTCCATAAGGAGC